GTAGTTATTCTGGTAAATTTATTCTGTTTTTGGAAGCAGAACAAGCCTTGACTCCTTGAGGTGTCTTTACAGTAATTTACTACATTCAGGCTAAGCCTTCTACTGTTTGCTGCTTTTGGAGTGCTTGCGTATGGCAGGTTTTATTGAACCTTAGGTACCATAGTTTAAGATACCCTGAATGTAAGCCTTCCCCCCTCCCCCCCCAGTAATTCAGGCACTGGAAAGTGGTTAGACACAAAATTCATCAGTATGTTTTCCAGCAATTTGCTGATGAACATAAATTTAGGCTTCCTGGCTTTGGTGCAATTATGGGCTCAGCAGGGGTGTGTTCATTAGATCCTCTACTTCTTATGCTCTAAACCTGCCCTCGCTATTCCTTTCCTGCTCTTTCTACTGGCTCCTGTCACTCCACTTTCACCTACCATTTATTATCCCTTTGTACTCCAGTGTGATCACTTCCTCCTTTTCTTTGGCTGGATACGTTAGGATTTATACTGAGAACAGAAGACGGTGTGACCTTTTTTCCTCTACGTGGTCCTGGGAGCTGGGAGGTGCAGTCACTGGGAGAAGTGCAATCCCAGATGCCTAGTTGCTCTGTGGTAATGGGGCGTGCTGCAGCGTAGTCAGCATGTAGGAGCAAGCAAGGAAAGCCTCGCTCGGGCCCTGCATCCTAGGACTGGCGCATGTTCATTGTTGGTGGATTCTTCAGAGTTTAGATTTCAAACTAACAAGTTTGAGCATGTGAGCCGAGGCTTTTCAGATGGCTAATCTTTGTCAGATTTGAGTGCATATTCATATGTGTGATAAAAAGATTCCTGTCACTAGGGTGGCCCGTGCCAAACTTGAAACCCAGACCCGGACACAGGCATGGGTGAACCGGATGGCTACCCAGGGCCCGGACAGAAAGAGGGCCCAATAATGGGTTTTTTTTTTCCCGTTGTCCAATTATTATTATCATTATCTCTGGTGAAGGGGGCCTGATACTAGAAGTTTGCCCGGGGCCACCAGGAGTCTAGGTATGGTACTGTTCAAACCCTTGCTCACACCCAAGGAGGCGTGCTGGAGTTTTTAAAACAAAACAGTTGATTCTCATCTTCATTCACAAATATTTGCTTCTCTGCTTAAACTTTCTGATGGAAATAATTGCCTTGAGGCAGGCACCCAGCAAGAAAACATTCTGCACACGATTACTTTGGCAAAGCAATTGAATGCAGGGTTTTTATAGTAGGCAGCCTTAGCCAAATAGACGGGTTTAATTTGAAGTATTAAGTGATGGGATTTGGGCTACTGGAGCCAGATTGGGGAAATCCAACCTTTCATGTTGTTTCCAGTCCAGCCCAGAAACTCTGACCGACTCTCCCCCTTCCCTACTCCCTGGAGGAAGAATAGCCAATCAAGGTTGCTGCAGGTGGCAGGCAGTGTTGTCTACCACACAGGACTTGATGGAAGCCATTAGCCAGCCAGTATCTTTTTCATGGGAGGGGAAGGACATGGTAGCAGAGCTATGTTCTGTTATGGTTAGATGCTGGGGGAAATGGATTATCTTCACTTTTTAGTGCTGCAACATCAGGCCTACCCTCAAGGAGAAGAGTTTTTTTCTCCCTCCCTCTCCAGCCTGGGAAAGGAGGATGTAGAGCATCCATTACTATAAGAAGAGCATATGTTCAGTGAGAGGTAAGGACTGAGGGGTTTTATTTATGTAGGGCTAGAAGAGTGCATACTTAGGCACAGGGGCTAGGGCCACAAGCTACATGTAAACTGGTTTAAGTGAGCGCTCAGAAACCGGTTCAAATCTGTAACACAACAGAAGTTCAGTGCGCTTAAACCGTTCTCAAAACGGCCAAAACTGGTCAAACTCATTTATGGAACTTACGTCCCAGGCCTCTTCCCAGTTCAAGTTAACTTACAGTCCTACGGCATCCCAAGATGCTTTGCAGCCCTGGGCTATGCTGTCTGCTGCAATGGAGCAGGGTTGGTCCTGCCCCTCTGCTCTCTAGCTAGAGCACCATCACTGCTCCATCTGGCTGACAAGAAGGTGGGGGGCAAACCTGGGTCCAGACCCCAGCCGAGGACTGCCTAGCAGGGGCAAAGCAGCCCCTACCAAGGTTTTCCACTCTTCTTGCTCGAGCAGAGAGTGTATGTGGGAGCGGAGTGTAGTTAGGCCCTGGCCAGACTGGTTTTGCCTCCACCCCCGCAGGGAAGGGGTTTAAGCTTCTCCCCTCCCTGCCACAGCAAGCTGGCCCCAGCAGGACCTAGCCATGCCTCCCCACTCTGCTTGAGCAGGGAGTGGGGTAAAGCCTGGCAGGTAGGGGTACACCGATTAAAGACTGTTTGGGCCAATACCGATGGCTGATTATTAACAAGCCATATTGTCCGGTACTGATCTGATTGTCAATATGCATCCCAGCAGCTTGGAGAGCAGCATCTGGCTGGTAAGTCTGTGGGGTAAAAGGAGAATGGGGGAGGTAGATTGAGGCCCTTGTTGTGAGGGAGAGAGTGGGGCTTGGCACAGGTGCTGCCCAGCCAGGGCCAGGTGTGGGATGGAGCCATAGGCAGTTTGTCTAGGGGCGCGTGAAGGGGGAGGGCGGCTCCTGCTGCTGGCACAGGCTGGAGATGGCACAAAGAGGCATGTAACTCCTGATCTGTGGGGTGAGGGCGGGCTGCTACTTTGAGCTGGGGCTGGGAGCGGTGCCAGACTCTTCCTGATGTGGGGGTTGGGCTGGGGCTGTGTGTGGGTCAGATGGCAGCAGTGGCGCTGGGAGGTGCGTTGCGGGGGGGGTACAGCTACTTCTGGGGTAGCCACAGCCCCACCTGAGTCCCCCCTCCCAGCACCGCTGCCCCCCACCCCATGTGCAGCACCGGCCCAAGCCGCCGCCTTCACCTTGCACATGGATTCGGGGGGCACATGCACCTCTGTGCCTCTACTGGTGTGCTCCAGTGGCTGAAGCCACCCCCTCCCCATGCCTGCAGATGAGCGACTCATGGCTCCATCCATTGCCCCACCCCACCCTGGTTGGGCAGTGCCTGCCCCTGCCCCAGTCCCAAGTCCCACTCCCTCCTTCATCATGGGGGCCTTGATTTGCACCCCGCAACCCGTCCCTCCCCCCACCTCTTTTCTCCTACAGACTTACCAGTGGACACTGCTCTCCAAGCTTTCGGGCTACACCCATGCATGCAGAATTTATCAGCGACACTATTGGCCACATCAGCCAAAAAAAGCTGATTGCTGATAATATCAATTTTGCTTTTACTGGTGCCAATACAATATGAATTGAAGTATCAGTGCACCTCTACTGGCAGAGGGAGGGATGGGGTGTCAGGGGGG